AAGCCGCCTTGTTTTACTGTAGCCCAGCAGTTTGTGATACTCTGTGTCAGTTGAATCACAAAACTCTTTCAAAGTTTCGACTCAAACGCTGTAGATGTAGTAGAATGAATAAGTTTTCACAATGATGCATTCAAAGTCAACAGGTAGACAATCAGCGGCAGTTTTGGTCGCATTGTGGACTATGTGGGCTCCACATCCAATTCCAATCCAAGTGAATGATTCAATTTTGCGTAAACATTATTACTCCCTTTTCTATTCTTTCCTCCAAAACTGCAGTTGGTGTTGTCTCCACAAAATGCCATAATTTTTTTATTCAAATCATTGCAATATAATATTTCCTTCAAATAATCGACAATTACATCCGATGTTTTGCCTGGTTGCTCCCGAAACTCTATAACCTTGACTTTTACGCCTTCGCACCTTCGCATGGTAAAAAATAGCAAATCAAAACTGGAAATAATTTTAAAGAGCCATGTCTTGAAGCATCCGTTAATGAAGTTATGCAGTGGGCTTCGCAAATATGCTTTTTCAATTCATCGATTGATATAGATGACAGCACATTTACAATAGCTTGAGATTTTGTACGTAGGACATTTAAATTTTTGCTCAAAACATGCTTGAATTAAATTAGAAGAACAATCATTTGAGCGAAAGCTGTGATTATGTTCTACCTCTACCTCACTACATACCACATACCCATAGCTCTACCCTCAGCTGCAGCTATGTCCAAATCTTTGGACGTCGGCGAATCGGTTCTCTTAAAAAAGTAAGCATTGACGAGCTTGAAGCAGCAGCTTGATCAAAAAGCCTGTGTTTTTCTGACTTCATATGCTTTTCAATATCACTGGCACCACCATCTCCAACAATAAAATCAGTACGACTCTTTTCACACGTTACGTCTGCTATATTATCAATTCTTTGTTTTACAAATGAATACTTGTGTTGCAAAGTAATATTAAACGAGCACTTGCGCTTAGGCATTATTGTTATGTTATAATCACACGCGTACGTATATCTACTCTTTGTTTCGTTCGACTTGAACTAAAACAAAACTTGCAGTCACCGGTTGAACAGCGAGTAAGCGCCGGCGAGTGGGATCTATCTATCCAACTCGATCCTACTGACGTGTGTCATCGCGGCGCTCCTCCACAGCCGCGTCGCACCACGCGTTGCGAGCGGGATAAATAATTTTTTAATTATTGTTAGGTCTGTTTGCGAAAGCGGGACTGTCCCGCCCAAAGTGGGACGTATGGTCACGTTAGGTATTCCCCAAGGAATGCTACAAAGCACAATCCTATAGCGCTTGTGCCAGCGCATACCCGAATCGCTTAACAGGTCGTCGCTAAATCTAGTTGGGGTTTGGTGAGAAGATACTTCACTTACCGGAACGAGACTGGCAATTAAGAATCTTTCTTCTTCATCGGTTGTCAGTTTTTCGAGCTACATGGCTGACTATGTGCCAGTTCAGCTTACTTATTCGTTGCGCTATGTCGGTTACTCTGAACTACTGCGTACATCCTTATTAAGAAGGCTATCGCACAAATAATCTACGAGCATAGTCCTCTCCATAAGCATATGGTTGTGCGTTCGCACAAATTTATAAATTTTATAAAGATATAAATCATTAGTATTTATATATACATAGTAGTATTGAATGTTCTAAATGTCTTTTTATTTCATTCATTGAGAAAAGCATACTATATTGGGGAGACCGGAGATGGTTGACTATAGGGGCATGCTGACTTGCTGTCAAAAACTCGACCTACGACCTATGTAAGTGTTGCCTCATCAAACTAGGCGCGAAAAACCGTTTTCTAACCCCGCTCGGGTACCGGAAGAGCGGCATCGTCTACGCACGTCGTTTGGGAGAAGGAGCTTAATATCCAAAAAAAAACCATGTAAGTAATTGTTTACCTCCTAATATATTTTGTAGTAACGCCTATATACTCGTTATTTACTGTCAAGTAATTTAAAGTAAAAGTTTGATTGATAACATTATTTATTTATTTCGCCGCAGTTTTGAGGCTATGGGGCTGGTTGACCGCCTAGTCAACCTACCTCATAGTAGTCTGGGTATACTTTACATGGAATAAAGTTACTTTTCTTTTTAATTTATCAAATGCTTGTTGTTGCAGAACCATGCGAACGTACAAAAACGAGATCGAGAAAGTACACCCAAAGATGTCTTCAATAAAGCATGTCAAAAAGTTATTTTTGATAAAAATATGTATTAATTCTACAGCAGAAGAATTTGCTAAACTGTTTGAAACACCCAACGCCACGTGGTAAAAATGAAGAAAATGTTAGAAAGTAAACCGGCATTGACGAGATGTAAATTGACTTTGGATAGTGCTGGCTGCACTAAAAATAGACAAATATATAGTGATGACGAAGACTCGCATTAGAAAATTACCTCAAGTGAGCAGCTGATATTTATTACGGATTTACTCCTTATAAAACTCGAAAGTTTGTACTATTTATACATACAGACTAACAAGAGTAAAAGAAAAGGAAGAGGAAAAAAGATTTTCATTGAACAAATAAGAGAACGAATAGTGACGAAGAAGAAAAAAGTGATGAGGATGATACATTTTGTTTAGAATGCAATGAATCTTACATTTTGAGTATTCCTGGAGAAACATGGATTCAGAGCACTATGTGCAAGTTATGGGCCCATGCACAGCACTGTGCAAATGGTAATATTTTGTTCAATTATGTGATCTATTTCGTTAAAAATATATAATTCTATTACTTGAAATAGTCAAGACTGTTTTTACGAGTACGCATTGATACTTTGGCTTAACTACTGGCTAACAGATTACTTAATAAATTTTGAAATGCTAACTAGCTAGCTAGCTTCTGAAATATACGTGCGCTGTGAAATGTGTTAATTTAGTACCACATGGAATCAATAGATGTCACTTGTTTCAATATTAAGAATTTTTGTTGTACTGCCATCTGTTAACATTACTATAAACTAAATTATTAAGTTTTTCGTATTATCATGACTTGATTTTTAAAGTTCAAATTAATTGATTTAGATGGCGATAATATATATTAACAAATGTTAACTTATTCAAGTACAAGTTATAACTGGCACGCATTGATACTTTGGCGGCTTTACATAGGAAGGGTCCTTCGATAAGACCGGGCACAAATAAAGTTTCAGAGCGATAATATTTCGTTATTGTACCCATATTTATGTATTTTAATGTTTGCTAGGCCTACTTTATGCTTGCTTTGGCCCAGTGTTACGAACTCTACCAACTTTTCGGTAGATCTATCAACTTTGATTATCTAACTCCATCTACTAATTTTCAAAAAAATTAACCAACATTTCGAATTTTTGAAATTTTTTTAGTTCTATATCCGCAAAAATAATATTAAAACAAATTTGACAAATAAAATAATTCTGTAACAGCGGCATTTACACGTTCTGTGAAGTACTACATCGACCTACAAAGCCGACGTAGTTCTAATAGTAAACTACATTTATTATAGAAAAATAAAGAATTTGCTCTCAAGGTTATTAAGTTGAAGATTTTACATAAATTATTAATTTGAATTGATTCTAATAATAACAACTTATCATAGAATCTCAAGTGAATTCTCAATTATCACTGCTATAAATTGTCTTCAGGTTTCGTAAACTATTGAGTACCTAATCTGTGCTTCAGGTTCAAGTAATTTTATCTATATAAATAAAGGAACTGAATATTTATAATTAAAAACTGTTTAACCAGGATATACCTACTAAACATAGCATGATACGGTTTACAATATTTTTTTTCAGGATTTATTTTGGTAATCGATGTTCAATGATCCCGCTTTCACATGGAGATCCTTATAAAAATAGGTGAAATATTTGTTACACAATAGAAACATTAATTATGAGTATTACATTATTATTGGGAGGTCTCTAGAAAACTTAAAAAATATAGTTCGTAGATCTACTAACTTTTCAAAGTAGGATTAGTAGGAGACTATTCTGAAATCATAATATCTACCTCCAAACCTCTGAGACAAACTTCGAGTTGGTAACACTGTTCGGCCCTACTGCCCTACAGCAAATTTGCAGTAGAACCCATCTGTACGTAAAATCACGCTCAGTGTTTTATCTGAAGGAAATGTGTCTAGAATTTGCTGTGACAACGAGTGCATTTCTTACCCAAAGATTATGTAGGTACCTATTTACTTCATTTACCTACATACATACTATTTATACCGTTACTTGAACGCACTTGAACTTGAAATGTAAACAGCGCTCCATCTATCATTCCTTTTTGGTCTGAGGAAAAGCAGAAAAAAGTTTTTAATTGCTTATTTCGATTCTTTGCATTAAAATAGAATACCTTATACTTAATCTGAATATAAAACAATGATATAGGTAATAATAGATGATAATAAGCTAATTAAATAAGTAATGTAAAAACGTAGCAGCCGCAATATTGTGTTCAAAATTAGAATTACTCTTTAACTTTAAATGGATTCATGATTATAATAAAATAAGAATGTAAGTTTGTAATTTGTAAGTACGAGTATATTGTGTTCGTGTACGTAGTATTTTTGTATTAAGAGTTAAGATTGTCGCGTTAAAGGTGCGATAGATGGTGCTGTATGTTAGTTGTTATATTGCTAGAACGCGATGTTGGGATTATTTCGTAGTAAATAAGAGACCTCGATGCACAATGTACAGTATCGCTTCTCGGCCTTTTGGCTAAGATCAAAGTGTAGTCGTATCTGAAAAGTACTGTATATGTCTACTACAGAAGGCCTTGGCTGAGAAGTGAGAGCTGGATAGGGTAATATTGGTAGGTCTTGTAATTTCTAGGTGTCGTATTCGATTGGTGTCAGTTCGCTCCCTCGTTGTGACGCGTTAGGTTGCGCTTTACTCTGAGGGAGGAGAGGGAGTTGTGTTGTGCGACTCGTGAGTTGGCTTGGCTAGTCGGAGGCTTACACAACGTCTGTGAATAGGGAAGCACCTATGTGCCACTGTCAGTATGGGCGAAAATTTAAAAGTTGTCGTGGAAGGGCAAAAGGTCGTCATTTTGCTTCCGATTGATGCACATGAGGAGCTGCTGTGTCCGTTATGCACTAGGCGAGGTCGGTATGTCGGAGTCCGTAAAATAGAAAATTTGTATAGGCATTGTAAAGAGCATCATGCCGAAAAAGAAATTCATTATAGATGCTGGAGATGCGGATATATGGCGCCAGAGGGAAAGCGTTACCCCCGAAAAATTGTTTCACAGCATTGCAGTGAATGTGTGACTGATCACGGGGTGAACCCAAGGACCACGGAACGAGAGCGTAGGAATGGAATAAGAAGAGATTTGGGCGTGACTAATAACTCACCACGTCAATCATTATCACCATCTCAACCATTATCACACCCTCAAGTTGGTTCTGTGGATCTTGGGATAACTAATCAGAGAATCACAGGGACACCGGTGCAAATTGTCATGCAGACCGAGACTACGACAGCTCCACGACTCACAGATATAGATTATGCGATTTCTGGGGGGCCTAATCAAAATACGTCATCTCACAGGCATGCGGTGTCAAGGAGTGATGTAACACCTGAGAGGATCCCCAGAGTATCAGAACAGCCTCTGGCATCAGAAGAGCCTGTTGCTGATGGGGTGAATAGGGAATCATTCGGTAATTCACGGGTTCAGAGAAATATAGAGCCTTTAAATGACAGCCTAGTGAATATGGACTCTTCTCGCAGGCCTCAAAATCGTCGTTACCCCACAGCAGAACAAAGTCGGTATATGGAGGAGATTGACTCGGTGAGCAACTCAGAAGAATTTGAAGAGGTTGCCCGTAGAGCCATGTCTTTCCTATGTAGGTTCACGCACACGGGACACGACAATGAGCGGCGATTACAGCGACATAGATCGGACAGCAGAAGACCCGTGCGCGTTGTAGATAGAATGAGTGAGGCCGCCCTTATTCAAGGAAAATATCGTAAAAATCGGAAAAAAACCGTGCAACAAGTGCTCAACGGGCCTGCTAGGTACTGCAAAATTTCCAAATCGGCTATTGAGCAATACTTCACAGAAATGGCCGCTCCTCGAAACGGAGATCAATTGTGGCCCGATGTCTTCAATCATGATGACCCCACGAGTCTTAGCGAGTTGCAATTGCTCAAAGTCTTTGAAAGGAAGGAAGTAATGAGGAAATTAAAATCAAAATCTAATACTTCCCCCGGACCGGACGGATTAACATACGGTGACCTCAGAAAGGCGGACCCGGGAGCCTTTGTATTGACAGCTCTATTCAATGCAGTGTGGCGGCTCGAAGTAGTGCCTGGCTGCTGGAAGGACTCAAATACTATTTTATTACATAAGAAAGGACCGGAGAATGACATATCCAATTGGCGACCTATTTCGATGGGAGATACATGCCCAAAACTCTTTGCCGCTATAGTTGCTGACAGAGTCAAGACCTGGGCAGTCGCCAATAGAAGATACAGCACGTCACAGAAGGGATTTCTTCCGTATGAGGGATGCTATGAGCATAACTTTGTGCTTCAGGAGACCATCCAACAGGCCAGGCGCGATAAAGGAGAGGTTGTTGTTGCCTGGTTGGACTTGGCCAGCGCATTTAACTCTGTTCCTCACTCGTCTATTCATAGGGCTCTTGAGCAACACGGAATGCCAGCGAAAGTAAGAAACGTAATCGATTCGCTTTACAAAGACACGAGAACTAAAGTTCGTACCTCGGAGGGATTCACTGACCCAATCAGGCTGCAGTCAGGGGTGAAACAGGGTTGCCCGCTTAGTCCGCATATATTTAATCTCACCCTGGAGGTAGTTATCCGCGCAATGGAATTGACGGGTGAGGGATTCAAAATAAGGAATAGGCGTATTACAACTCTGGCTTACGCCGATGACATCGTAGTCCTTGCCGATACACCAGAGGGAATGAGACGTCTCCTCAATGCAGCTGAGGAGGGCGCTCGGTCGGTTGGTCTTGTTTTTAATCCCGCCAAATGCGCGACACTGCACATAAAGAGTGATTGTGAGAGTGCGGTACAAGATACAATTCTTAACATCCAGGGGGAACCTATGAAATCACTGGGCCCAAATGACTACTATGAACATCTCGGGATACCAACAGGCTATGATGTTGGACAGACTCCAAGAAGCGCATTAAAAAAACTACTCGCTGATGTCAAGAAAATTGACGAATCCCTCCTGGCGCCATGGCAGAAATTGGACGCAGTCGGCACCTTTGTCCTGCCTCGCTTGTACTTCATCATGCAAGGGGCTGACGTCGAAAAGGAGTACTTGAGGGAGGTAGATAGAATAGTAAAAAACTTTGCCAAGAGATGGTTAAATCTTCCTCACAGAGCCAGTTCAGAGTTAGTGTTTCTGCCACCCTCTATGGGAGGTGGAGGATTAATGCCATTAAGCGACCTGCTCGACTTATACACCGTCACGCACGCTTTTAAAATGCTATGTGCTACGGATGATCTGGTGTGTGAACTGGCTAGGGAGGGATTGAAGGAGACTGTGTCGGAGAGACTTCGAAAAGTGCCTAGTAACATCGATATGGCTCGATATCTCTCTGGTGATCTGGATTTGCCTCGATCCACATCGCGCTCTTCGTTTTGGACCAAAGCGCGAAGTGCGGCACGAAGAATGCAAAGTAAAATAACCATCAGATGGATATGGCACCGTGGGGAAGAGGAATTCCATATTCAGTGCGGAAACGGCGCTGCAGGATTGATAACACCATCATCAAGACAAAGTCTATTTAAAAAAATGCGCTTACAGCTTGTTCAATATTATGCCCGTGGGCTCCAGGCCAAAAAAGACCAGGGAAAGGTGTTTGAAGTGACTTGCAGGACTGGTTTCTCAAATCATTTTCTCAGGAGTGGAAGGAATACTCGCTTCTGTGATTGGAGATTTGTTCACCGTGCGCGACTTGGTGTCTTGCCACTGAATGCCATAAAAAGATGGCAAACAGATATAGACAAAAGGTGTAGAAGATGTGGCCGGGAGCAGGAGACTATCCCACATGTATTGAACCATTGTGGGTTACACTCTGCAGCGCGGCAACTAAGGCACAATAATATTCAAAGCAGGCTCGTCAAGGCACTGAGATGCCCGGGACTCGTCACTACTAACCAAACCGTTGAGGGAACACATGGAGCGGCAGCGTTGCTGAGACCCGATATTGTAGTTCGAGACGAGGTTAGTAAAGAGATCAAAATTGTAGACGTCACTGTTCCATTTGAAAATAGGTTGTCAGCGTTCAGGGCTGCTAGAATGGAAAAGATCACAAAATATGGTTGCCTGGCAGAACAACTTAGGGCACGAGGATATCGGGTCAGTGTTAACGCATTTATAGTGGGTTCCCTGGGCGGATGGGATGATAACAATCAAAGAGTTTTGGACTTCCTCAAAGTTGGTCGCTTCTACGCAAGGATGATGAGGAGGTTTATGATAAGTGACACAATTAGATGGTCTCGTGACATATATGTGGAGCACGTAAGCGGGATACGACAGTACACGGTCGAACATGATTTGGATCGATCGGTCAATGTCGTAACATAATGTCGTCAAGTAAAATTTTACATTCTATAGGTTAAACTATTACTACGTCCGTTCTGACTGAGCCTTTGTAGACTTATTTCATCACTATTACCTTTAAAATTTTCATCATTCACTAATTTATTCCCTAATTTTCTTAATTATTAATTGATTTATTCATTGATTGGATGATACAATTTTTTCCATACTAATTTTCTATCGGTAACATCGATTTAATATTTTCACAATATATTTAATAACGGACAAATATAATTATGTGACTGGGAGCTACTGTACCTTTAAAGTAAACAAAGTTCAAATCGAAATATTAAAATACGAGCAAACATTATAGGACTCTCTCAGCTTTGACACCCTCCATTGGGGGGCAGTATTTTCGATAAAAAATCTGTTCTTTTCAGCTTAATATCTGAAAGTTCCCGTACTGCGGGACCAGTATATTAAACTGATTTTTGAAAATCGACGGGATGTTCGGGGCTCGCTCCACTCCCGTCACGGGTCGGCCCGGCATTGCAGTGCCGCCGGGATCGGCCCACATACAATATTCAAATAAAAACAATCTCTAGGAAAATGAACTTCGCGGCACTTAAAACGCAAGCTATTCTCATAACAAAGAAATATAAATATGAAATACCTAACTTAAAGCTCAGTGAGTCAGTGATACCAATATAGTATTCACTATTCAGTGAAAACCTGAAAATTCTCGGTTTGAACATCGACAGAAATTTAAATTTTGTAAAACATGTACAAGACACCACAGTAAAAGCTATTGCGCTATACAAAAAGGTTTCAAAAACAGCAAGAGCTCAATGGGGACTCAACTCGGAAATTCTTAGGACTATTTACATCACTGTCGTAGAGCCTACAATGTTATATGCGGCAGCTTGCTGGGGAAACAAAGCATTAAGAATACAGATACGCAAACGTCTCGATACTGTAACGAGAGTAGTCTGTATTATGATTTGTAAAGCTCATCGAACATCTTCGCTAACTTCCTGTGCCGCCTTAGCAAGAATTATACCACTAGACTTAAGAGCTCAAGAACAACTAGACATATACGAAATAAAAAGAGGAAAGTCCATTGAGCAACTACCAGGGAGGAAACTTGCCATACCAATAAGTCCTTTTAACCTTCCACATCCAGCGTTCCGTGTCCCAGAGACTTACAATGACATATGTACAGAAAAGGATGTTGAAATGATAGAAAACAACTGGCCTGCTATCTATACTGACGGTAGTGACGCTGTAAGCTGCTGGGAAAATGGAAGGGAAACCCATAAGGTAAAAATAAAATTAGGTAATCATTGCAGCGTTTTCCAGGCGGAACTAGTTGCAATATTGAAGGCAATCAGTATCATAAAAAGCAAACGGGGATTTAGTAAGTCTAATATACTGAGTGACTCTCGGTCGGCCCTGGAAAGCCTTTCAAATCCTAGCACTCTTAATCCTCTGGTAGCTGAAATTCTAGAAGATATAGAGGAAATACGTAACAACCAAGGTGAGGTGAGGTTCTTCTGGATTAAAGCTCATTGTGGAATCCCAGGGAATGAAAGAGCTGACGAATTGGCGAAATTAGCAGCGCAGACGTCTAAGCAAGCGCCAACTTACGACTGTTTCCCACTGTCCTTTGCAAAGCGTCAAATCAGGGACAACTCAATTATAAGGTGGCAAGAAAGGTACAGCACATCCATCACAGGGTCTACGACAAGAAAGAGCAATGGCAGACTTTCATACATAAAATTAGTTGAGAAGAAATGGTAGCGTCTATATACCAAAAATATCTTAAAATGTTAAGCGTCAGTCCCTTAATAACTCTGTCAAAGAATTTTGTACTGAGAAGGCGTCAAAAAAAAGATATTTACATTTGAACCTTTTTAGGTTATGTCCTATGTCACTTGGAAAAAGTCATGCTTCCTGTGGTTGTTTGATGTTAGCTTAATACATAATACATAATTGAGAGTTTTTAGATTATTGTATCTCTATTATATATTTGAATACTATAAATGTATATTTCTGGCATGGTTCTAGGGCTTTTGTACCATAGTGACATTCTCAGAAGGGCTAGAACCCAGAGCCGTAAACCCAGTAAAAAAAACAGTGACATTTTATTTTAGATAGTGTTAACATTAAATGGAATTATTACATAGTACTATGATTGAGATAATGTATTATTGTAGGAAATTCTTTGTAAGAGACTTATTCTCAGCCATATTACTTTTATTTTTGTTATTACTGATAGTACAGTTATTACTACTAATAAATTAATATAAAAATATTTTGTGTGTTGTATTGGTAGTGTTACAAAGTGTATACGAAAATAGTAGGAATATACTAAATGGCAACATTTCAATAGAGTAAAATGATTTCAGTCATTTGATATTCCCAAAAATGTTTGTTTTTTTCTGTGGCTTTAATTAAAATACATTTTTATTTGAAAAATCATAGAAAAATAATAAAACTCATTTTATATATAACTTATTTCTAGACGCTATAATTTTTGTCAACTATTTTTCTGCCATTGCTCTTCTTTCCTTGTATAAAAGAAGCATATAAAACTATGTGTAAAGTAAAAATGAACAATTTCATTTCACAAATTCTGACAGGTCACGGAGGCTTTAAATCATACCTGTTTAGATTTAAGTTGTCACAAAGCCCCTACTGTAGCTGTGATAATCAAACATCTCAAACAATAGAGCATATCCTTTTAGACTGTCCGAAATTCGCTTATGCAAGACTTTCATGCGAGCAAAGTATGGGCTTTGCGCTAAAAGAGGAAACCTTATGTAAAGCTATTAACAGCAATGACAGTCGATTTCACTTTCTAAAATTCGCAAAACAAAGCACTGAAATTATTCTCAAAGAGAATAATTCAAAACACAAATAACAAATATTGATAATAATAATATGAGAAATAGTAATAATAAAACTTTTATACTTACATTTAGAACCACAAAGTAACAAATGTCTCACACTCACATCAAGATACAGAAAATATGTAATGTTATGTCAATGTAATTGTACAGTAAAAATTGTTGACTGGAAGGATATTATACTAACAGACATAAAAGGGTCATTGTAAATAATAAAAGATAATAAAATGAAGTAGTTAATGTAATTAGCTTCAAACAGATAATGTAATTAGCGTAAAACATGAAAAAGAGTAGCGGAATACATGATAATTAGTAATAAGTTTTAAAAATATAAGTGTTAATTATAAATTAGTAAAAAAAATAGGAAAAACAAAATAAAAAAAAAATAATAAAAAAAAAAACAGGATAAAATGTTTAAAGTAAAAGAATTTAAAAAACGTATAAAAGGTGCTGTAAAAGAAACAACAGCAGATGAACTGTGACTCAATAAAAAAAAAAAAACTAAGCCTAGTTTTATAGGGCCCTATACGAGTATTCTCATTGGTCATGATGGACGAACGACGAAGCCTAGCTATTACTATTTACGTTCGGGTAAAGGCCTTTATCGCCTATGACGCCCATGATTGGTATTTGGTAAAGAGCGAGCGTAATGGCCAACTGTGTCGGTTTTTCGGACAAACATCAAAGGAAGTTCAGCCATGATCGTGCGTGGGTCTAACATGATCGCCGAACGCCGATGCTCTATAAACTTACCTTGTTCTATTTCGGTGTATAGTTTACATAGACTATTGATATTTGATAGTTAACATATGCTGAAATAGAACAAGTAAAAATAGAACAACTTCCTTTTCTTTCAGCACTCTGTTATGGTCTACATTTCAATAATAGATATATTATAAACTAATTAAAATAAATAGCAAAAGTTGATACTGTTTTAACGTCCTTCTCTTGGCAGCCGCGCAATGATTGTGACCATCATGCCCCATTCTGTGGTTGTCAATCATGGCCGATGGTGTATAAGCCCCAATATAGGATCTGAAAGGAGTAAAGGAAACAGGAAACAAGAATAGAAAGAGAGATCGAGATTGAGCAGACGTCATCACCGTCGTTTGTTCTAACCATGGCATTAATGGTTAAATTTATTTATATCTTAAAAGTTATTTGTAAATTTTTTTAACAGATAAAACTATCAGTTAAAATATTACTTACTTTTTATTGAATTTTTATTTTTACTCTATTTTCAGAGTCCCCTTTGCCACCTGGTGCTTACTTTACCAAAGATGAACTGTCAATTATCGATCACGTAGACCTAGAATATAGTAAACGTATTATAGAAATGTTGCCATCCAAAGCCTTTACATTTCCTGATATTATTATTGATACGTCACCTGAGTCAGTCTATTCGCCATCAATAATTGAAAATTCAAGAGACTCCTAATCTATCGAGATAACTGTAAATGGACTTAAGACTAAGAGCATAATAATCCCATACCTTCACCAGCAATTTTTTCTTGTCCAAATAGTTACATAAACTTTATTTTTACTGTACCTGATAATCACACCAGCGATTGTTTGGATTGGAAAAAGACAAGGGTTGCTTAAGGGAGTAATTTAAGTAAGAATGGAAGAATAGCCAGAGAAAATACAAAATGAATAGAGGTATGGATTATACCAGTAGAAATGAAAAAATACATCCTGCCCTGGTCCTAAATGCTACCGTCAAAAATGTTATGATAAGATAACAGAACAGAACCGAAAAATAATTTTTGAGATGTTATGGAGGATTGGCAATCATTCACGGCAATGGGATTTTATCACTAAGTACGTTATGAAAATACTAAAAGTGCGTTTTACTGTTTCTGAAAATTCAAAGCAGCTTTATACTATTTAATATTACTTACTATGGCTGGAATCAAATGACAAAGCCGAGATAACAAGAACATCTGTTTGTAAAACAATGTTTCTCAGGACGAAGGAGAAGTTTCAATTTTGTTTATACCGCTCTAGAAAAATTTGATTGTGGAAAAGTGTTTGTAGAATCCGATCACCATCCAAAAACTATAACATTCAATATGGTACGTGGTGTGATTGATCATATTATTGAAGCTCTCGCGCCTTTTGAAAATCATTCCACTT